AACAATTCTCAGGACTCCAGTTGTCCTTGGGAGGTAATGAGCTCTAATGCTTCTCAGCACTTAACTTTGGGGGGTAGTTATGCACTGCCTGTCAAACTACTTGCTTAAATTCCCTGATCCTTAGCAATTCTTGTCATTAAGTAGTCAAGAAAAATAAAAGGTGGGAGCCAGTGCTCTGTATGTCTATCTAGTCATTTATGTACAGACATGCATTCATAACAAATATCCCAAAAGATATGGCTTTTAAAAATGGATCCAAGTAGGGAAACTTTTATCTTTTCATTCAGTGGGAAATTAACCCCTAGCCTACCCCTGACTTAATACTTCCCCCAGCTTTCTGAAGCCAACAAAGGCTACCACTCATACTGGTTTCTGTTGCTTCCTTTCAGAGATGCTCTGTACATATGCAAGAATATATCTCTGTGTGTATCTTCCCATTTTTAAAAACCCGAGTGATAGCATACTATAAATCTCACATCTCGGCAAGAATTTCCTTCATTCCGATTCATTCTTCTTTCTTGCCACTGAGTAGTTTCTACATCAAATGGTTGGATGGTTATTTTATTAGCACCATGTTGATGCACATTCAAGTAATTATACTAGAGTTTTTTCCCTTCTATTTTTTTGTGACTTTGCCCTCTTTTTCCTGCCAAAGGTTTCTTCTGATTCATTGGTCTTATTTTCTATACTTAATGATTCTTGGAAATTAGACTCAATACCACCTTTATGGAAACCCTCACCCTTCTGTAAAATTTCTGATAGATCCAGACAAGTATAAGTAAATTAAATGTACTCAGTAAGACCTTATCTTTTTACCCCCCAGATTCGCTGTGATTAACTTCTGATATCGATTGCAAGCCCACTTTTCTACCCCAGTAACCCACCTTTTTAAGTCACTGGCAGTGGCTGGGCCCAGTGGCTCCTTCCTATTATCCCAGCACATTGGGAGACTAAGGGAGGAGGATTGGCTTGAAAGGACAGCCTAGGCAACATTAGACTTTATTTTAAATTTTAAAAGGTTTAAAAAAAAATTTCTTTTTAATTAGCTGGGTGTGGTGGCATATGCCTGATAGTCCCAGCTATTCAGGAAGCTGAAGCAGGACAATCATTTGAGCCTGAGCATATGGGGCTGCAGTGAGCTATGATCATACAAGGGGTCAACAGAGCACGACCCTGTCTCTAAAAAATAAATAGATAAATAAGTTGTAGGGAACTTGATGAGAACAGACTCAGCTTGGCAGATACCATCCTTGTCGTTCTGAGCTGGTGCTGTCACACTCATCAGCATTCTCCAGGCTGGGCAGAGCTAGTTGCCTCGGGAGTGTCCTCTGCTCCCAGACCACATTTGTCCTCCTTTCCCTTTGAATGCCGTTGCTCCTCCTGTATAGTTTTATTTCCACTATAATGTAGAGCGTTTTAAAGATCACTTAAAGCAAAGCACGTTGACTTCAAATGTATCATGACTAGTTCATACCCTTTCAGTATGGCTCTGTAAGGTCTATCTGGTTTCATTTCTGCAAACCTGAACTGTCAGAAGGTTGCTTTTTCCTACTTTGCTCATAAAAAAATAAGAAGCCCTTCCCAGCTTAAGTCTGTGGAGACCTTGACCCTTGCAGTTGCTTCAGCTGTGTGTTCTGCTCAGTGTTATTTCTACTCTTCTTTGTGTGGACATTGCCATGTTCCACCTCTGAGGTTCAGTTTTCTGTTTCCAGTTGTTTCTTCTGTCTTTGTTCAAATCCCCCCCTCTCCTCTGTGTCTGTTTGCTTTAAAGCAGTTTCTTCTGCAAAGCTTGCTTGTCTCTGTGTCTCAGTTTATACCCCAATAGCGTAACATACTGTCCTCTTGTGTTGCTTTGTCTGTTGGTTATTCAGGTGGCATCACCTATCCCCTTTATTTTAAGAGGATGATGATGCTAGCCTATTTCCTTATTCTGGCAATGAATAAAATTAAATTGAAAACAGAACTAATGTTCCACAGATAATTTCCTCTATTTCGTTTTTAATTTTTAAAATTTTGAAATATTAAAGGCCATTTTTAAATTGTATTCCTCTTCTCACATATTTTAGAAAATTTCCTAGGTAAGGCTCAATCTGTAAATTCTTTATTTCTGTCATTGATCACTTTATTACCATTTAACAAATTCAGTAAATATGTACAGAATCCCTGCCACATGCTGGATATTGTTGTAGGCCCTGAAAACACAAGCCAATTCCCCTGGCCTCTTGGAGGCCATTTCAAGTCTTGGAATGTCTTTTCAAGACTTGAAATGCCTTGGAGTTCATTTCAGTGAGGGAAGGTGGACTGTAAATGTAAGACGTTAGATGGAGCAAAGGGTCTAGAGAAAATTAACGCAGGAAAGGGGAGTAGGGAGTTCAGAATGGGGCTGTAGATTTAAATAAGGTGGTCAGAGAGACACTGGGAAGAGGTCATTTGAGCAAACCTTGAAGGGAGTTATACAAGGAGTGTTTAGAGGAAAAGATACTCTGGGCAGGTGGGCACAGCAAACACAGAGGTTTTGCCTTTCTGGACTGTGTAAGGAACAGCAGTGAGGCCCCATGGGCAGAGGAGAGTTGAGTAGAGGAGTAAGTGAGGGGCTCCTGGAAGCTCAAAAGTGTGAGGCCTTTAGGCGATTGTGAGGATTTTGGCTTTTCTCTCAGTGAGATGTACAGCCATTGAACAGTGGTTTTTGAGAAGATGAGTAAGGTAATAGATCTTGTACTGCTACGTATTATCACATTATTTCACAAGGGTTATGACTGACAAAGGACGGAGTACCCTTTGTTCTAGTTCTTCTTGTAGTAAATATTTTCTGTTCAAGAAGTTAGCAGCAAGATAACCCAGTGTTTTCTCTTCTCTCCCTTCCCTATCCCAGACCCATTATGTAAATGCAAAGACCATTATTACTGTTAATGTAATAATTTACTAAACCTTGTCTCTAGGTAATCAAAAGCTATCAATAATTTTAGGCTTGCTACAAAGTCTCTCCTTCCTGATTCAATATACTGGGGGGCCATAAAGTTCGTGTGCATTTTAAAAATAGTGTGCAATTTTAAATTGCACACGAACTTTATGGCCACCCTGTATTTATTTATAACTTCAGTACTTCTTCCAGAAAAAAAATCAGAAGGTGAGGTTCGAAATAGAAAACATTTAAATTTAAGGGCTCAAAAAATAGAACTTTAAAAATTAAAATTGTGTAGGAGGAAGAAGCAAATGTAGCAATCTGTACAGGTGACAGTTGTCAAATAATCTCTCAGTTTACTAATGGGCTTCATGGTGACAAAACTAAGAAGAAAAACAAGAAAATTATCCTTGTCTGATTTTTCCAGCCCACAGCACTAGTTCTTTTTACCTCTTACTCTAATGCAAGCTACCTTAGTGGGAATGTTTTCATAACATCCCAAACACGGATTACATTCTAAAGTCAGTTCCTCAATATGTATTTTAACTCATTTCTGCTGTGCTACTTATTTATTTCAGGAGTGTCATTTTGCTAAAAAGAATCACGTTCCTGCTAAAATTGTGAATTTTTTAGCCATAGCCATTAAAATCAAGGTTGACTTTAAAGTTTTAATCACTTATTTTGCTAGATTGCCAGCTATCTACCTTTGTATCCTGGTATTCCCTAAATAAGTTAGTTCTTCAGTCCCTTACCCACAACTCCAAAGTCTAAAAAGCTCTGAAAACAAAAATTTGTTAAAAGTTAAGTACCAAACTCATTCAGAGGCAAAAACATGAACTGATCTGAGACTATTTAATAATCTTCATTTGTCCTATTTGTTGTGAATACTTATTTTGCTGCAGAGTGGTATTATGTCTGTGAATGCCCTTCGGATTCTGCTGGGTGTCATGTAACATTTGGTATACGTATCTTACTATGTTTCTAAAATTTGAAAGTATAAATTCCAAAATACATCATGCCCCAAAAGTTTCAGAAAAGGGATTGTAGGCCCGTAATGATGGAATAACATAGGTGCCTAGTAAATGGGAGTTGAAGTGAAGTTTGATTAATATGAGGTACTTAGGAATGAGAAACTTTCTGCCTTGTGACCTGGAGGCCTTGGGGAATAAAATAGATGATTCAGTCCTTAGAGTCAGGGCACTGAAATGGTTCCCTAATTGTTCTCTTAAGGTAGTGGTAATTGGTCCTAGGTCAGGCTAATAAATCCAAGAATGAAGTGTTATTCTATCAGTTAAAAGTGTTCCTATTAGTGTCCTAGAAGGTGCTTTTTGTGTGTTGCACATACTTTTTATGTTGCCTTTGTATTTCTACTTACTGCTTTGTATCCTTTTGGTTTTGTTCAACATTTTTTAAAGGTGTCACATCAGCTTTTTTAATACTGGTGATTTAATTGCAAAAGCACACATAAACAGTTGGAAAGGTGTGAGAAGAAATTCGCAAGTCACATGGGGAAACAGCAACAAAGCTAGCATTCAGTCTGGAATTCATCCACTGTGCAAAACAAATTGCACTGCCAGTGGGTCAAATGGTGTATCCTGAAATGGAGTGAAAAATGAGTTTGATACAAGAAACATTTGTTTCGTACCAGTGATACAGTGAGAAATATCAAGATGAATTGAATATAGGCTTTACCCTCACAAAGCTTGAGTTTAATAGGGAGAGCAGGGCATGTATATAAAATATAAAGAACATTCCAGAGGAAAAGCTTTGCAGCTTGGGAGATCAGGAGAAGAGATGGGATTTGCCCTGGCTTGTGACAGTGAGTCAGAATTGGGGAAGCAGAGAGGATGAACTTGAGGGATACAGGATGAGAAGGACAGAGTCCTCACTCTTAAGAAACTACATTTAGTGGTACAGATGCTTGTAAATATCTGAATTATTACAGAAAGTGGTAAATATTATAACAGGGCTTTGGAAACACAGAGGAAAATAGTAATTCTTGGCGAAAGTGGTAGGAAAGCTGGTCTGGAAGGGCACGGAGGTTTGCTGAGAAGGGTGGACAGTTACACTGCAGTAATGTCTTGTATTGTCTTTGCAGGTGAAGCACACATCCCTTCTGTAACAATACAGAGTGGGAAAAGTGTGCAGAGTAAGAGTCACTTTAGGACCATTGCACCAAAGATTGTGCCCAAAGTCTTAAATTCCAGAATGCTGCCATGTCATTCACCCTCACTCTCTGATCAAGTGAGTCTTGGACCCTCCGTCAACTCCAAGCCACTGGGGATGTCCACCCAGAAGTATGCTCTGATGCAGATTGCCGGCCAAGAAGGGACTTTTTCTCTTGTTGCTTTGCCGAATGTTGCCTCAGCTCAGCCAGCTCAGAAACCCAGAATGCCCCTGCCTGAAAACCTTAAACTGCCTATTCCTCGATATCAACCCCTAAGAAATAAAGGATCAAGAAAGCAACCCATCCTAAGCCCTCCTGAGAATACCTGTAACAAACCTCCTGTCCAGACCCAAGCATGTCTTCAGATGTCCCTTTCCCCACCTGAGGGCCCTGTTGAACTCCCACATAAACCCAGTCCCTTTGAGCAAGTGCCATCACTAGAGCAGGTCCCAGCCAGCATCAGCATGGCTCCACTGACCAATGGCTGTGACCAGGGGGACTTGAGATCTCCAGTGACCAACAGCCATAGGGAACTGAACCCTCCTGCCACCCCAACGTTGTCCACACCAGAGGGCCCCTCTGCCAAGCAAGGCCTCATAGAGATTTCAGGGAATGCAAACTTTGCAAGCAAGAAAACATCCATTAAACCTTCTGCTGTCACCAGTGACAAACTTAAAGAGCCAGCTGATCTTGCAAAAGCCATGCCCAAGTTACCACCAGGTATTTTGGGCAGTGCAGTCCAGCTGATCTCTGCAGTCCCCAAAGGGAAAGTGCCAATCTTACCCTACTCGAGAATGAAAACAACAGGGGCTCTCAAGGTGGAATCAAGTGCAGGTTTCTCTTTATTGGGGCACGGGATAGATGGTGAAATGACATCCACCATCACAGAAGGCTTTAATGAAGCCACCAAAATGGCCAGCAAGTTACCTGTTTCACAAGTGTCACAGCAGAGTCCCCGTGAAAATGCCTTTTGTCTAACCACCAAACTAGATCTAAACCACAAGACAAAACTGATTGGTGGGGCAGCAAAGAGAAGAGGAAGAAAACGGAAGGCATCAGATGAAATTTTGACACTTCCAGGGAAAAGGAAGAAAAGCATCATTAATAAATGTAGGGATGGTAAAGAAAGAGCAAAAAATGATTCCCAAGAATCCAGAGACCAAAAACCAGGGACTGTGAAAAAATACCGTAGCATCATGCCCAAGCCTGTAATTATGATCCCCACTTTGGCTCCCCTGACTGCGCCTGCAGCCACACTACAATCTCAGGTGTTCGGAAACCTAGGGCAAGATGTCTTGTCAAACAGTTCACTCATTCCTAAATGTCCTGGCCCTAAGCAGGACAATAGCCCTTCCCCTAAGCCCAGTTCTGTGTTCAGAAATGGACTCTCTGGCATTAAGAAGCCTTGGCACAGATGTCACATCTGTAACCACCACTTCCAATTGAAGCAGCACCTTCGAGACCACATGAACACACACACCAACAGACGGCCGTACAGTTGTCGGCTCTGTCGCAAGGCCTACGTCCGTTCTGGTAGCCTGAGCACACACATGAAGCTTCACCATGGGGAGAACCGCCTGAAGAAACTCATGTGTTGTGAGTTTTGCGCAAAAGTGTTTGGTCACATCCGAGTCTATTTGGGCCATCTGAAAGAAGTGCACAGAGTTGTTATTAGCACCGAGCCCTCCCCCAGCGAGCCACAGTCAGGAGACATGCTCAAGAACAGAGAGGCCAGCGTGAGAGGGACAGAAGGGTTGCTGGAGAGGTGAGTGCTCAGGAACGGAAGCCTGGCAAGAAAGTGTATTTTGATCTGCAGGAGAAAAATTTGTTAAATCATTTCTTGGATTAAGATTTTGTGAGGTTAGCTATCTAGTCTTCCTATTTTGTGAAGAATGATCTCATTTCTCTTTGTTCTCGGATCAGTCAGCATTTTCATTGACACTAACCTATGTAAGCCAAAGCGTAAACGCTGGTTTGAGTTATGCTGGGGACGACTGGGTGAGAAAAACTTATTCTTGCTTCTGAAAATGAAATAATAAATTATTATATATAGTTCCTGATAGTGTTTACATGTAATTTCCCCCAAAATCATATCCACAGAATTTATGTCTAAACAGCATCATTAGCCCAGAACATGATGACCCACAGTGGGAACTCAGAATGGACCGGCTGGGTGATCCCTACCCCCAGGTTCCCATACCTCACCCTATATATTCCATCTGGTTGAGTTAACTTTTTCCTTTGTCATCACTTTTTCCTGGTACTGCTTCCTAATGTTATAAACAAATAAGTAATTTGAAAGCCCGGCAGACAGGCGCTAGAGCAGTAATTCAGCAGGGAAACACCCTCAGTTTGGGCTGTGTATCCCTCCCCACTAAGGTGACAGTAGAGCGCTTTCCACTGCCATCAGTTCTCCCCGTCACCAGGAGAAGCGTACCTTTTCCGGCAGGTAGAGTCTCTGCCCATTATTTATAATTGTCCCGATTGTTCTAAATACTTTGTATTCAATTTTGGCTTACTGTATCAGATTTGATAATAATAGGGGCACCTGCTTTACTACTTCTTTGCTTTTCTATAATTTCTCTTTTTCTTGGGTATTTCTGTCCTCTTTCAGATTTCCATGCTTTCCATTAAAGGACAAAGAAGCCTCACTTCTTAACTTGTTGTCTCATAGTTAGATTTTGAATTTTACGTGTAATGTCCAAACTATATTCCATTCTTACTGGGTTGTATGGGACAGTTACTTCACCTGAACCAGGTGAGCGTGTCCCTGTAGGGCTATATTTGGGGTTACTTGACTTTTCCAGGTTGATTACACCTGTCCCTGTGGGAACCAAAGGAGTTAGCTCACCTGGGGGAGATGCATAAAGGGAAACACGCTTTTATCAAACAGATGCTGGTAGCATAAGAAGCGTGTGGCCCCAAGCAGGAGTGGCAGTTGGCATTCACTGCGGCCTTTGCTGAAGGTCTTACCAGGCTCTTGCTTTCTGCTCCACCCTTGGTACCTCATCAGTGAGTGTGTTTACATCCTGAAGATTTAGAGCTTTAAGAAAAAGTTCCAGTTGTGTTCTTTCATGAAATCTTACGTACACAAATTTTGTCTTTTTCAGGGAAAACAAGTCAAGCCTAGAAGAAGACTTCCTTCTAAACCAGGCAGATGAAGTCAAATTACAATTCAAATGTGGCCGTTGTCAGATCACTGCTCATTCTTTTGCTGAAATAAAGTTTCATTTACTTTATGTTCACGGAGAGGAAATTCAGGGCAGGCTACAGGAGGGGATCTTACCAGGCAGCAAGGGAACTCAGGAAGAACTGCTTAAACACGCCATTCCTGACTGCAGGCAACATCTGGAAAGAAGAAAGCTAGTGAAGCATCATCCCTCTCAGGAGGCTGCACATGCCTTTCCTAAGTTAAAAAGGGAACTCTACCTTCATCATCAGAATGGTGTGGAAAAACTCACGGAAAGTAAAGGAGCCCAAGCAGGAGCCATGGAGCCCAGGGAAAGCCCCCCGGGCCCCGAGCATCCTGGCTTCTATACTGTGCTCCTGTGGTCCCCTTCCGGCTTCAACTGCCTCCTGTGTACACAGAGTTTGGGAAGGAAAGAGGACCTCCTCCTCCACTGGGAACGCCAGCATAACTGTGAGGACCCTTCCAGACTGTGGACTATTCTAAATACATTCTCTAACCAGGGAGTGATTGAACTTCCCTGTAAAACTGAGAAATGAGACGCCAAGGCAAGCTGGGGTTAGGGAGAGAGCTTTGCTGTCACCTTCTCTCAGAGCTTTGTGCTTTATGTGGTGCTTAATTAAATCAAAAAGTTAGGATCGACAGTAATGGACAGAAGTGATTTTTGTACATAGTTTTATTTTCTTATGAAATAAAATATAAAAATGCATATTTTTCTAACCATATGCAGTCTTAATTTAAAATTCTATGTACTGATAATGCATAGACTTTATTTCATAATAAAAAGACCAAAATTTGGAGAATGAAGTGTAGAGGATTATAGGATGTTCTTCAAATACAGTCTTCAGTAAAAACATGTGTGAGAGTGTGTATCCTTTTCTGTTGTTTTCTGTTTATGTAGATCAAGAAATGTGAAAAATTTCCAGGTGGCAAAACCATTCCAGATTCAACCTTAGTATCAAGTTAGATAGTAAATGTTGATATTTCTTAAATTCTATGCTTTATTTGCATATCCTGCAGAGTAGTATTTTAAGAAGTTTGTCATCTACCATAATTTAAAGTCCATGTTTTCAGGACTTCAATTTTTTTTTTTTTTTTTTGCAATTGTGCTATTTTCTTCAATGCACGTTGTCTTGAAGATAGTTACTTGTTGGCAAGCCTTACAGCTATAGTCTTCCATATCAAAATGGTAAAATTAAAAAAGTACTTCAGCTAATAAAAAATCCACTTTCTTGGTAAAAAGTTGTTTTCAAGTAGTCTTTGGGGCCAGAAAATTTACAACCTGGAAAGTGAACTAGATAGTTCAGTCCAGACGTGTAGGTGTCTCAGCTGCTCTCCTCATCTCCTGAGTAACTTCAGAGGGTTGTCGCTTGCTGATCAATTTTGGTTGCAACTGCTTTGCAAGCCCAACTTGCCTTTGAAAGTCAAGAGTAAATGATTGCCTCTTAAATTCCTGGGAAATTGCCTCGAATCAGTAAAGTTGCCATTTGAGGTTTCTGGCCATCCTAGCTACAGAATCATTTTCTTAAAAGGGGGGAGTTTGTGTACCCCTCCTACTAAAATCTCAGTCTGTTGTGAAACCCCCCATTAGTGTGGTCAGCCCTGGTTGCAGAAGCTTGTCGTAGGTATCGTCATAGCGTTATTTTGTGCTACAGGAAGTTTCCTAAAGTAGAAGAACTAAATCCTAACTGATAAGATAGTGGGTCTTATCTTTTTAAATGTTTTAAAAGCAGTGTTCATAGGCACAATTTGGCTCAAATAATACAAAAAAGGAAAACTTAATTCTTGCTGTTTTGCAAATAGTTTTATAACTTTTGAGAATAAGAGGGTGTGGTTAGAAATCTTTGATTGTGCCATGATTTAGCAATTGATCGCTCAGTTTCAAGGAGAGAATATCAGACCTCTACTGTTGGATAGTTTGAGAACTTCCCGGGTTGATAATGAAGTAACTTTACCATTCAGTGCAGTTCGTAGTTTGTGTTTTAGAAGATTGATCTTGAAGACATTACCAAGTGAGTTCTACTGGGAGAATATTACCTGAATTCAAACCATGAAACTTGAATTCAAACTATGAGATGATGCATGCTCGGTCCTCAGATGCTATGGATTATTTTGGAAATAATAGCAAAAAGCAGAGTCGTAGGTCTGGAGTATATGTGGAGACAAAGGTAGAGGATAGTATGCATCCACTGAGCACTTAATGAAGAGTCTGAAGTCCTAGGTTGTGGAGGTGTACCACACTGGTTAGTGTTTAACTGCATATTCTCACAGCAAGGGCATAGGCAGTCTCTGGAAAGAAATACAGTTGGGATTGGGGAAAAGACCAAAGGTCGGGAGAACGTGCAATGGCTCGTGATGAAGTTCTCTGGCTGGATCCCCTTCCAGAATATATTTCAGAGTTGCAGCCCCCAGGTCCCAACAAATTAGGGCACCTCATCAGGACAGTAATCCCTGGAGGTTGGGGGAGTGCACCATCTTTAGGAAAACATTTGAGGGGAAGCTTGGGGTGCACAGGGTCCTCACTGGATGCCTGTGTTCGTGGGTTCATTCATAAGACAGTGTTTCAAGCAGTTCCAGGTTCTGGAAATGCTCCCTTGGTCAACAAGGGGAATACCCCCAGTGCCACCCAAGATAAAAAGAGTTTCTGCTCCTTGATAGTCGTGCTTCAGTGGACTGGTGGGAAGAGGGGCTTCTACTGGGGAGGTAGGATGACAAGCGGGAATAATTTAGCTAAAGTAACTTTGGGAAGAGCTCAGAGCCTGCCTTGGGTGTAGAAGTGTTATTGACAGTGCCAACCTGTATACTTAGCCCCCAGATGGTGTGGTATAGATAAAGTGCTCTAATATTTATTCTGTGTGACCTCAAGAGCGTTCCCTAAGCCTCCACTCCCTTAGGGATTGGGACTGCTCTTCCGTCCAGGCATCACTGAAGAGTCAAAGAGATACAAATTACATGTCCAACATGCTTGGGCCATGAAGTACCTGGTGGCTGGTATTTATTATGCTTTTGGCCAGACTTAGAAGAAGAGGTATATCATGCCACGTAGGATAATTTAAACAGCTCAGGTAGACCTTAAGTACAGAATCCAAGGATGAAAACTCTACCAAGAAACACAGAAATGTACATTTTTTAATACAAAATATATTTTAATTGTTAACAAAACCAGGATTTGGATTGCATGGAGATTTGGCAAGTGTCTATTCAATCAATATAGAAAGCAAAATTCTCTAAATTACAGTAGAACCTCCCTAATTGACCACCATCTTTAAGTTGACTTAATTTTTTTTTTTTTTAAGTTTGTGGCCGGGGCTGGGTTTGAACCTGCCACCTTTGGCATATGGGGCCAGCTCCTTACTCCTTTGAGCCACAGGCGCCGCCTAAGTTGACTTAATTTCTATAGACTGCACATGCACCACATGTATGTATCAGTACAGTTGGCCTAGTTCCTGGTGTTGACCACCTCTGTATGTTGACCACTTGGTTATAGTCCCTTGGGTGGTCACCTTACAGACATTCTCCTGTATTTCCATTCCAGGCCCCACTTCGGGGCTTGGATTCCTCAGGTCTCATTTCGGGCAGTATATCCTCCATATGACCATTTCTCTGCCCTTCCCTAACTCCTGTTCTAGCTCAGTCATAGCACCCACCCCACTGCCCAGAAGCAGACAGTAGACTTTCTGATTACCCCACTAGACTTTAAGCCTCTGAAGGCAGAGAATATAATATAAACAGAGGTTCAGCACAGAGCCCTGGAGGGTTCAGTATCCAGCATACTTGTTGAAAATGATAGAAGCTTGGGGTGCATAGGGTCCTTTTGGTGGATGCCTGTGCTTGTGGGTTCATTCCTAAGACAATGTTATAGTTTCCAGGTTCGGGAAAGCTCCCTTGTTCTCCAAGGGGACCACCCCCAATGCCACCCAAGATAGAGACAAATTTTCACTTTCCTTCTTATGAATAAACCTGCCTTAGAAGCAACCAAACTCGTAGCTAGAAAGACACTGAGGCAAATTTGGTCTTCAATTCGGCACATTCATTTTACTTAATGTCTTTTGCTTCTTGGAAAATTGTCCCAATGCCAACAGAACTAGACTTTTTTTCTTTCCTTTTGGCCCTAAATTATTTCTGAGAGTTACAGCATTTTAGATTTGTATTGTTTTATTACCTGTCATTTTTATTCATGTCCTCTTTTGTTGCTCGCTCTCTCACTTGGACTTCTTCCTAGTTTAGCTTGACCGTTCCTCTGTTAAGCTGTTCCTCATATGGAAAGTTGTCTCTTCATCAGCACACCATAAATAATCAAAACCTGGGTGCGTTCCATCGCCTTCTCGGGCTGCAGACTCCTCCCCTCTCCAGCTGCACGGCTCCAGTTTTCCATGGCCCCAGTGATACGGTTGTTGGCAGTAAAGGTTCGACTTCATTTATTTCTTAGAATTCTCAGATCTGGACTGGTCTGCTCCATTCAAGCCGCTGACATGCTTTGTTAGGTACATATTTTATAGAGTCGCCTCTTTTCTCTGAGCTCTTGAGAAAAAGTGTCCTGGTAAGGATGAACTGAGACTTAGCAGAACAGGTTTTTAGCTTCGACTTTATACTGACTTCTGTGACGTTAGACAATCAGCAGGTTATCTGGGCTTGTGGTGCAGTCTAATATATGTTTTAACCATATCCGCCTCTTCGGGAATGTTACTTTCGGCAGTGAAATGTTTATTGCATCTCATATTTGGGCACGATCGTAGTTATCCTGATAGTAAAACTATAGCCACAGTTTCTTGAGCACATTTTAAATTTGTGTTTAATATGCAGATGTCAGCTTAGGAGTGCGTCACATTTTCCATACCCTGAAGTGTGAAAATATTTCAATGTGTGGCTTAACCCTAGGAAAAAATGCTATCCATTGAGGGAAACCAAATGTGACAACCAAAAGAAATGTAAAGATTACTTGTTCTAATTTTGATGGGAAGCTAAACCAGGTTTTTTCCAATTAAATGTGTTCCTGTCATCAGAATTGCCCCTCTCCCTGTTAGCTGAGCAGTAAAACGTTCCCTTACAATAGGATGACAATACTTGCCTTTTTTAGTATGTTCCAAAAACAAAATTGCAAGTTACTAGAATTATAATAGATCGTATTTTTGATAGTTATTAAGCTCGGAGAAAAGATTTTGCTGCCTTTTATTAAATATGAATTTAATCTCTCCATAGGCGTTGCAAGGAGATCACCAGGTATTCTATGGGTGTTTTCAGAGACAAAGCAATGAACTTGGTCTGATTACTGTCTGACTTGTAATGTATATCTTAGTACAAAAATTTGGCCATGGAAGAGATCCAGGTGGCTCAAACACATGAGCTAAAAACCATCCCAAAGCTCTGGCTGTATCTAAAAGTAACATTTAAGGGTATGTTCTCAGGAAACTAACACACTACCTTTCCCAGTGTAATCCAAATTAAACCACAATTAGATTTTTCATAAGACGTTAATTGAACCTTTTTGACAATGGTTAACACCCAAGGGAAGTTATTCTAAAATTTCTAAGAAGACAATATTTTTCAAATAGTCCTTACTCTTTCTATAAGTTGGGGTAGGAAGAGAGAAGCAGGAGGGCAGTCAAGATGTGGCATGAGGGGCTGTCTGATGACAGAAGGCCCCCTGTAAGGG